CGCCCTCCTTCAACTTAGCTTTGGAAGAAGTAATTTGCAGTCTTCTGAATTTTTTTTTTTTTGGCAACAAGTAGACTACAGTGACTTTGTTCCTCAGTAATTCTTGATAAAAATAGGAATTAAAGTCAAGATTCAGAAATGCCATTAAGCTCATGATCATTTAGAGACAAGGAAGAACATTTTGCCATTATACCAAATACTACATTCTAATGAAACAGGTGTTGCAGGCTTACAAACTATACTTTCTATTTTCATTTTAAATTATGTGTCTTACACTGAGGAGAAAGTAACAAAAACCAAAACCAACCAAGCCAGGAAACCAAACCAAATAGACTAGTTTTTGATGAACATTATTCAGTGGCTCTTTCTTTAATAAAAAAAAATAATCAAAAAAACCCCAAACCCACAGCCATTTATATGCCTGGTACTCTATTCCCACCACAGAAAACAACTCCCCATTGACTACAAGCTACAAGTAAAGTATCTATGCTTCTGACCCCACCTGACTTAAGCACATCATCAATCACATCTCAAGCCACCAGCCCTTACAGAAGGTGAGGGATGACCTCACTCAGCTTGAGCTACTTCAGTCAGGCTCAAGCAGGTTTTAGTACCAGCAGTTCTGTTTCCTACCTGCAACAAGTGCTATCAGCAGCACCAGACAACATGGGAAGCCTCCAAATACTTCAGAAAAGTATGTAACTTGGGCTGATGCCCAACAGTTCCTCTAACTGATGCCTTCCATAGCTGTTGTCATTGCTCCCTCACTCTCCTTACTTTCCTTCTCCATAATGGTTTTCTTCCAAATTAATAAGCACACTGGAAAGTAAAACAACATAATACATTTACAAGGGAGGGCTCAGAGTCTCAACAGGTGGAACCTGAAGGGGTGAGTGGGTCTAAAGGCCTGAAAAGCAAGCAAACTTGTCAGCTTGGAGTAGTCCCTCCCCCAGTATCTGTTTCTAGTCACAGTATTATCCCTGTATTAGTATCGAAAAATGCAACAGTAATCCTAAGTTACTGGTCACTATTCTCAAATCACACAGCAGTTCTGTGCCTGCCAGGCACAGCACAGATACTGTATACACCAAAGAAAGGGTCACACACACACAGGGGGCAAGTTTCTAGCACAGCTGAAGATACAATGCTTAATTTTCTATTCCCATGCCCCTCCTAAATTAAGAGTTTGGTGGTTTTGGGTTTTTTTGGTTTGTTTTTTTTTTTTTTTTTTTTTTTTTTTTTAAAGAGTTTGAGAAGTGAAAGAAGTGTGAGTATCCTTTTAGGATGGAATGCAGCGGCATGTATCAGTGCATATGACTAACAGTTGACATCCTCTGTTACCATAACCACTGTGAACACTGAGGGTAACCACACAGGTGGTATCTTTATTTCACAAGATTAAAGATACAGTACAAAATGAATCTGTACATCTTTCTATTAACAGAATTTGTTTACACAATTATATTACATTTGACCAGCCTTTATACTGATTTTAAATACAAAATAAATTTACAAAACTCCTACAAGACCCTTTAAAGAACTGCAGCTGATAAAAACAAAGGGTTCCCCCCAATAGTCCCTATTTGCCATATGCATTTGCAGTAGTTCAAATCAAACTAAATCTTTTTAGTTTAATATTCTCCAAAACAAAAATAGAATTTCAGTTCATTGTTGCCTATCTAAAAAGGAAGCAACTTGCAAAGGTGAGTGTGATCCCCTTTTATAGGCCAAAACTAGCATATAATAGGTGGAAACTAGATAATGCATAGTCTTAAAAGTCCTTTCACAATCCATGTTTTAATGTTCTTCTCCAAAAAGAGTAACATTTGATAAGTGTTTTGTTTTTTTTTACTTTAATAAGAGCAGCTGACTTATGGAAGATGACTGAAAAGTGAGTAAAACTGGCTCATAAGAGTCTCATTGGGAAGTTTGTATCAAAGGCCTTATCTTCTATTACATTGTCCCGCAATGGACAACATGAAGCAAGGAAAATTATTTCAATGGACAGCTCTGGGACAAATTTGAGTGATGAACTAGAATCCTGTTTTCTAAACAGTTCAGTGTTTCTTTCAACCAGCAAGAACAGCTAGTGTGTTTGATTAATTGAGTTTCAGAACAATGTTTTCCTCCATATCTTTCCACAGTTTTCCTGCATATAAAACTCCCACCGACAACAGTTACTGCTCTGTAGTTCCAATCTCCCTGCAGGGAAAGAAGAGCATATGTCTGGGAAGGTCAAATAGGCAGGCTCTGGCCTACGTTACTACAGACAAAGAGTTTTTCCATTCAAAGCATGCTGAACATACCCAGAAAGGCTTCTCTAATCAAGTTTTCCTTCTAAAATACTCCTGCATATAAACTGTAAGATAACCTCTGTGCTACCAAAACGGAATAGTACTTCACTGCAGTAAACTGAGCAACCCAGCTCCCTTAGGAAAAAAGCTGCTTGATAAACTGAGTGTGCAACAAGAAACATATTGCTAGTAAGAGTTAAATATACTTCCCTCAACATGCAAGTTTCTGAACAGAGTAGCAAGGGATTGTCACAAAAACTTAAGTCATGTTGTAGACAACTGATTTAGAAAACTTATTCATTTCTTTAATCCCTGAGTTAACTTGTCATTACCTATGTTAAGTACCTTTTTACTACTACCGCTTCATTCAAATGAATGTCATCTGAAAAAAGTTAGTGGTAGTGATTTGGTGGAAGGGAAAAAAGCATGAGAAAGACTTCCTTATTGCTTCTTCAAAAAGCAGTTCTTTAAAGCAAAATATCTTGCTGATCTTCAATCATTTTCTTCTGCTGATTTCTTGGATATAAAAATGCATCAGGTTCAGTGAAAGTCAGCTGTAAGACTGTCACATAGCAGCAATGATGAGAGATTCTCATGCAAATAGGATAGAGCTTTTAGAATTTAGTTCTAGTAGATCAAACAACCAAAACATTTTAATAACACAGTAACAAAATTGTTCAACAACCTAAGAGACCAATATCAATGAACCAACGGCATTTAACTGGGAAAAAAAAAATTTTCCATATAATCTTTAATTTATTCATGCCAAGCTAGAAAGAGCTATTAAGTGACAGAGGCAAAAACACTTCAGAGGGAGTGTTCAGAAGTCACAGATATCTTAGAAATGCAGCTGGGGAGTGCTGTACATTTTAGACACTACATTTAAAGTTCAATACTGTTCCATCTGCTAATGATGATTAAGACTGAACAAGACATTCCTCTATCACATGCTGCAACCTTCCAAACTAAAAGGAAAGATTTGTCTTCACATAACCAGCATAAGCATTTTGAAGTACTGAGAAGTTCTACTTATATTTTAATACTAGCCATCCATGACATTTCAGTTTACAAAAGAGCGGATTGCTTATCTTCTCTCCCAAACTACAGATATATGGTCTCCTTACAAATGTATTGAGTATGAAACCATACCAAAATCTCAATTCTAAATAAAGTGTATTGATCTGTTGCTGCCAATCCATTGGAAAAAGATTTGCATGAAAGGAAGCCCTTAACCCTTTAAACTCAACATCTTTTGTGATAAGGTAGTTAAAGCCTCCTCATTTGTATTTCATTCAGCTTTAAGACAGTATATTCAGAGGGTTTAATGCTAGTACAGAAACAAATATTTAACTGCCATGGGTAATTAAGAACAGAAACTTCTGCACTTCTTGCATCTAAGCTACTCCCCCCCACCCCGCTTCCCACTCCCAATCCCTGAAATTATAGTTCAATGAAAATCATTACTAAGTGAAGATTCTTGCAGTCCATCAGTCCACAAGTTGTATTCTCACACTCATTAAAAAGTCTTTGCACTGACCTGGTGGTATCAAGAAGCCATAAACCATTAGTCATCTTTCTCTTTGGATTTTCTTGTTATAAGGGATCCTCAAGATGGCACAGCCAGAGACATTATTTTGACTTTCTCATGTATGCCAAGTACAAGAGGTTGGTGACAGCCAGAGCACTGCTGTAATCTAACAAACAATTTTTATCAGTCAGCCAAACTTTGGAGTAGCACCACTGGCACAGGCCCTTTTGTAGAGACTATGCATCTTTGGGGGCCTTTTTTGCAGATGCATTAAACAGATGCATGCATGAGATACCACACGTTTCCTTCCTGCAGTGCAGATCACACACAAAATTGCTGAAAATTAAATACAGAACTTCCACCTGTAAAAACAACAAAAAAAGTAAGCTAACTCACCGAGATTTCTGGCTCTGTCCTTTCTTCACTGTCCACAATAATACTGGTGCTTTCTGTAATCTAGATTCAGCCTCCTTGCAAGAGCAAGTTTAAATAATTTAGGAACATTACCAATTTGTTTTTATGTCATGAAGTATTGCAAAGTACATAGGCTCCAAAACAGTTTTAGAAGGATGCAAGATCTGGGCATCTGTGGATAGTTTTCAACTGATGAGCTTTACAGACCCAATCTGTCCCAATTCACCTCCTGGGCTACATACTGTCTGCTGAGAACTGTCTAGTCTAAGGGGAATGGAGGAAAATACTCAAAAGAAAAAAGCAAAACTGGAGAGTGGCATGTTTGCTGGCTTAGAGTTTATAAATAATCCATGTTAAACCATCCAAGACAGCATAAAAGACCAAAGTGTAAGAAATAATGAAATAAGAACTGTAGAAATACTTGGGATGCAGATCAGAATATACGTTCATACAGCTCTAGTCTTTTTAGTTTGAATATAGTTCAGTTTCTTGGACTTAAATTGGCCATAAAATAATTATTGTTATTACTTTTACATAGGGCAACTGCTATCAAGCAGGCAAAAACCTTCCAATGCTAGCCTTCTGCTCTCTCTAGGAGATGAAAAGGACTCTGAGTACAGAGGAACTAGATACAGCAGGCAACATTTTTGTAGTAGCACTCTCGTGTTTCCATGAAAAAAGCCATAGTGTTATTCCATTGGCACTGAAATAACATTCAAATGTTTCAAAAGAATTTTCTTATCCCTGAAAAAAGGCATCATTCTAAGCAGCTTTCAGACTTTTTTTTTTTAAACCTCTTTGCGCCTCTTTTGGGGGAGGGACTGTTGATCCACAGTCCTAAATCACAATGAAAACTGTTCCTTTTGGAAAAATCCAGTTCTTTCACTGAGGCTGTTGTTGCTATTGTGGTGGTTGATGCTCTGGTGGTGGTTCTTGTTGAGGCACAGCTGGCCGCAGTCCTGCTGGTCTGGGAATTGCCTGATGTTGCCTTTGTCTGTAGGCTATAATTGTTCCCAGAAGCAAGGCGATGATGGTCATAAGGTAAAGGTCCCACTCAGGCCCCAGCAACTGGTCCATATCAATATGTGAGAATATCTCCCTTATCTAAGAAACAAGAAGTCCACATCATGTCAAAGAGCAAGAATGGGAAGTTACTTTCATTTTAGATTTGACTTGTAACATTTTTACTGTACCAGTTTTAAAACTCCAGTAGCTCTTTTCCTCTGAAAAAATAGTATCACATCAGTGAAATTCTTAATTTCCATGAACTAAATGCCAATAAGACTAAGAGGCATGCTGTACAGGATGAGCTATTCTATTTTCTGTTCTAGAGATGAAGGCTCTTGATACATAGCTTTGTGGCTTTCACATACAGAGCATTAAAGTACACAATTTAAATCAGAATGAGGTAAGTAACCATACTAGTTGTCTTAAAGAGGAGCAAGTACCACATATAGTGAACTGATCAGTCCAGCCAAATTAGAAGCCATCAGCTTCCAATGTCAAATTACCATGAATGACAGAACATTAAGGATACTTATGTGGTACAATGCTGAGATTTGTGCAGATAACGTACAGGGAAGTTAAAGTGACTTACTGTTAGTTTTGATTGAACTACTTTTTTATTGGACTTCTATTTGCATAAGCATTAGCCAACACACTTTATGCTTCGATGGTATAGAGAGTCATTGTCAATTTAAAACTTGGAATGTCCGTGTTTTGCATACTAGCTTCTGAGAGGTACTTACTCAATTGATTTAGAGTATTTTGACTGTCCAATCCTGAAAGTCTAGTCTCAAGACTACTGTATTTTGTCAAACTTAGCTGTTTTGCCTGAACTTGCATTTGCTCTAAGTGGTAATAACTTCCATACCATTTGAACTTATGAAGTAAACCAAAAGGCAGTAAGGCGTCAGAACAGTGAGAAATATTTCAGTCACTATATGGTGTGCTGGTTTTGGCTGGGATACAGTTAAATTTCTTCATAGCAGCTAGTATGGGGCTATGTTTTGGATTTGTGCTGAAAACAGTGTTGATAACAGATGTTTACATTACTGCTGAGCAGAGCTTACAAAGAGCCAAGGCCTTTTCTGTCTCTCACCCCACCCCACCAGCGAGTAGACTGGGGGTGCACAAGGAGTTGGGAGGGGACACAGCTGGGACAGCTGACCCCAACTGGCCAAAGGGATATTCCATACCATATGATGTCATGCTCAGCATATAAAGCTAAGGGTAGAAGGGAGGGGAACATTTGGAGTGGTGGCATTTGTCTTCCCAAGTAACACATGATGGAGTTACACATGATGGAGCCCTGCTTTCCTGGGGATGGCTGAACACCTGCCTGCCCATGGGAAGTGATGAATGAATTCCTTGCTTTGCTTTGCTTGCGTGTGCGACTTCTGCTTTACCTATTAAACTGTCTTGATTTCAACCCACAATTTTTCTCACTTCTATTCTTCTGATTCCGTCCTCCACCCCACTGGGAGGGGAGGAGTGAGCAAGGGGCTGTGTGGTGGGTGCTCAGTTGCCATCTGGGGTTAAACCATGACAATGGAAAGACTGCACCTAGATTCCAGGCAAATATTTTTCTCAGTGCCTTCACTCAGCAGAAACTCTGCATAACAACTAAACTAACACAAATAGTATTTTTTCCCCTAGAAATCAAACACAACTCAAGTGGGACTGTTACAGCTGAATATAAAATAGCATGAGAATTAGGGCTACAAAAAAGTATTTCTTTTTTCCTGAACAGGGATTATGTCATTGTAATCATCTGCTTAAGTTTGATAGCAGATGGTCATAGATAAGAACAGTCAAACAGGTTAACTAAATTCTCTTCAAGGAAAGAACAGCACAGAAGAGCACTGACTGCACATTTCAGTTTCACACAATTGCACAAGAAATAGGAATCACAGCTTCAGTAATTTTCTCAATATGCAGCAATACAAACCACACCTATCCTAATTTTTCAGAATGCTCGTGTGAAACTTCTACTTAAGTAAGACTACAACTGAAGCTTCTTTTAAAAATGGAAAACACTAATGCAGAGTTAAAAGGAAAATCAGCAAAACTTACATTGATTTCTCGTACATACTGCAAGGAATAAATCACTCCAAGCTTGCAAAGCGCTAGGAAGACTGGAACCTGGGCATCTGGGCTTGCTTCAGCTGCCATATCATAGAATCGTTTTGCAAGATGAATATCCTAAAGTTAAGGAAATACAAAGCTCAATTTTGAAGAACTTGATAAATTAACCATAAAACAGAGCTTTTTCTATAAGCTATTGTACATTGTCATTTGAATACAAGATTTTTGGTCAAGTTAAATGAAAACCATTCACTAAAACTTCCCCTTTTATTCTGAGGGATGTTCACCTTTGCATAGACAAGTAAAGGGAACCTTTGATCTGAGGATGAAGCTATTGTAACTGATGCTAGAATTGAAGGTCACAAAGAGGTTAGTATTAACATATTCAACCTATGCACTGTAAACTAAGGCATATATTTAGGTAACTAGTACACTTTAACATCTCCAACACCACACCAAACATGAAAGACTAAGAAAACATGAGTCAGAATTACACAGCAGCAGCTCCTCCCAGTTATACTACAACATGCCTGCTGCATAGTGCAGCTTCTAACCATTTCTGCACGTACTCCCAAATTAGATTCTACTCCTTATTCAAAATGGACATAACTTGTATTAGTGAGGGCAGCCTGGCAAAAGCATAAGCACAATCAGCCAGCAACTTCAGGAAGAGCTTAAATTAGTGTTTTCTTTTGTGGTAGCTGAAGCAAGATGGCAACTCTAGCAAGAGCAAAGAACATGTGTACCTGAATAGTTTAACTTTCCTTATTTGTTTGGGGTTTTTTTGGCTCCACTTCAGATACATATTGCACAATGTTAGGATACTTGGATACAAACTGCCTATGTTCACTCAGTGATGTGAAGAACAGGCCTGTGTAAGACCTACCTCTGGAAGTGTTCCAAGTCGGACACTTAAAATGAACATGTGGCATGAAGTCCTGGAGATTTCTCTAATTTTATAATTTTAATCCTGATTGTGAAATGCCATAAAGATTTTCTGTTCATTGTTACAGCAAAGCTTAGTTCCGTAACACATGTGGAAATAACAGTATGAAAATCAACACATTATGTGAATGAGATGTACTAGCTCACATTTTAGTATTTTAATTCAATAGAACAACTCTGAATAACTCCTTGAGCCTGGGAAGTCTGTCTTTTGTATAACTATTTAAAAGAGTTTCCTTACCTCCTTTGTACTGCGCTAGGATCTGCTTCATACACCGATACTATATCATGGCTTATTTTCATTTCTAATTAGCAAGTATTGCATTCTGCTTATACATTCTTCACTCTCACTTGACAGACAAGTGAGAACTGTAGGAGTCTGAGCTTTAACACATAAATAGCATTGAAATACCATGCCAAATCTTAAAAGACAACCATGAGAAAATTAATTTGTTCTTTTTTTGAGCCATATACAGAAACAGTCTCCATTCTGACATGCAGGCTCAGGAATTGGACAACATTAAATCTATGAAAAGTGTATAACAGTGTACACATGTGAGATTTCTAAAGGAGCTTAATAATTGGTATGAGTCTGAAAACCATCTACATACAGGAAGCATAGCATAGAATCCTGTAAGTAAGAACAACTATTTATTCAATAAGAGAGAATAAGGCAAAAGCTGTTTAGGAAAAAACCCAATAAGAAATACTGTATTTATTCAGGATTATCCAGAATGAACAGTGACCCGAATTGAAGTTGCACAGGCCACTTTATTGGATCATTCTCCCTACCTATGGAGTGCTTGCAATCTTAATGACGTGGCCATAGGTGGGGAAAGAATAAGAATACACATCCTTTTCTTCAAGAAACTAAATCCCCAATTCGTTAGATACTATAGTGCTAACACTTTATACTTCTCTTCCACAGGCCTCTAGTGGAAGAATAGACTTCATTGGCAGACATCACCTGCTACATCAGGAAGCATGATTTTAACTGTCAGTCATTTGCAGAGGTACTCAAAATTCAGCAGTTTCCATTCTGGGAAAAGCAAGCCAAATACTCTTTTGCTTCATTCAAAACTCAGTCTTTTTCAGACTACTCTAGCCCAGGGCCATTTTAGTCTTATCTAGTCTGTCCTATATCTCCACCTTCTCATCTTTCAGTTGTAAAGTTTAAGGACACAGCAAGCAAAGGCAGCACGTATCCAGAATTCCTAAGACAGGTTTTATACAGGGAATTTCCTTGCTTAGACATTCTCAGTGCTTCTTTCCCGTATCTGTACTATCTCCGTTTCCCTTGCAGTTCAACTCTTCCTTCCACAGTGGATTTGTATGAGAGGAAAGCATTATTCATCTGCATAAAGCAAGGCTGCACATGCTCATTGTGACCCCCTGCGTACTCATTTCAGCTGTGTAGCAATCTCTGCTTCAGGTTGGAGAATACTCTGTGCAAATGGTAGCATTAGGACTCATTTTTCTCAAATTCTTAGCAGCTATACTGAATATTTTGCTCTAAATTGGGTTGTTTTCAAAGCAGAAGAAATAACAAAGTCCATGTCTGAAAGGATTTTTTTTTTTTAATTTTAAAGAAAACCTCCCAACTTTAGCACTGTGGCTTTTAGCTGGAGGCTCCTTTTTAGAAGTTAACTAGTTTTGAGGACTCAGTTTAAAGAAAAAACAGTCCTAAAATAAAAGTTGAAGATAAGCTTTAGAAACATTGCTGTTTGTGAACTGTACTGTCACTTCTACAGCTAGGTCAGTATGCAGTTTTCAAATGTTGATTGCTTGCTGCTGCCAAAGTAACAATATTGCCCTAAGACTTGCCCTTCACTGTTCTGACCTTTTGCGAAGAATTTAGGGGAAAAGAAGCAAAAATTGGTCTTCTAGTATGCTAACAGAATAATTAAAAGGTGCATACCTAGACAAAAAACAGATGTTGAAGCTTACTGAAAATAAGGAAAATGAAACAATTTCTTACAGTTTCAGGTAACCCAGAAGATATGACTAAATTTATACATTAATTGCATGAATTAATCATACATTAAGGTAAGGTAGGCTACTCAACATTAATATGAAATTACTAATTACATTATTTTGACACATACAAGCACATGTTACTCTGGATTCCATAAGTGTTCATTAACTCAGACAGCAATACACCATACGCTGCCTAAGAGAACCAGATATACTGCCTTCTTTTAGGCAACATAGTTTGTAAAGCAAATTGTGGCCTAGCCTGATTTGAAAAAAACATAGCCAATAACCATATGGTTGGTGGTGCTTATGGTTTGTTACGTGAAGATGCACAGAAGTTGTTTTCAAAGTGTCATGATACAGAAAACAAGTTAACCAGCGTTTCAGGGGATGAGAACAATCTTGTGCTAAAATACTCTGAACCTGGAATTGATTTGCATTCATTTCATTACACTTCAAAGTCTTGAAAGCATTATTTGATCATATGGTACTCTTTTTGCCAATCTTCACAATTTTGGGCAAATAGTTTTTTCCCTGTCTATGCCTCATTTCTTCGCACAGCTAAGTGTGAAGCGGATATACTCATCCATTTGCTATTGGAGAACATACTGGGAGACAAGCTAATTCCTACGAAGTGGTTATATAGTGCCCAAAGCCCAGTAGTGGTTATGGACTTAATCTCGTATTAGTAAGTGCACTGTAATGAAGCAGACTACCAGCCTACAGCTTACTCACCTGCTTGATGCCCAATCCCTTCTCATGCATGTAGCCCAGATTAAACATTGCTTGGGCACTGTGCTGTTGCTCTGATGCCAGTCGATAGTGAATAAATGCAGTTTCATAATCGACATCAGTACCAAAACCATAAAAATGGTAATCTCCAAGTTTAATTCTTGCAACAGTATATCCTACAAAACAAAGATAAAATAGCTAGGCAAAGAAAGCCTTTTAGTTTCATTTTAAGATGCAATAAGGGCTTTAGTATCACTTTCCACAGTTTGCACAAACTGTTTCCCTTTCCCCCCCCCCACATAAACAGCTTTTTTTTTTTTAAAAAAAATTGGTTTAGCTAACCAAAATGCAAATTATTTCTACTTTCAGGAAAGTGCGTTTTCAAAGTAATGCTACCAACAATTTTATTGCTATTTAGTGGCATCAGTTGAAAAGCTGTATCATGTTGTTCATACCCACTTATTACAGAAACATTTTTAATTTGTTATATGGTCATTAATGGCTTCAGCTTTGTTTTTAAAAGAGACACTGAAGACTTGAAAAATAAAGTCTCTCATCACCATTTGGTAATCAAATACTTCACCATTCCATCCTCACAATTTCCAACTTTGTACTAAAAGCCAAGCAGGTCTGAAAATTTTCAACAAAACTCTTAGGCTCCATTTGCATGATACGCTTTCTTTTAAATAAAAAGCTAGTAGACAGACATTAATGTAGATGCACCCATATGAAAGTTAGAGACCTCACACTAAGATATTTAATCATTAAGTTCAGTTTTTCTTATTTTAGAATAGGGTCACAAGCACCAGAGTTTAAATTTGGGTTGGCTGGACATCAAGACTGTTCTTCATCACTGAGTTTTACTTGCTTTGAACAGGAAATTACATTTCTTATAAATGATAAGTACCAATATCCTAAGTAGTACTTTGCATCTATTTTTCCAAGTGGATTTATTTTTAGAAAAGTCAGTGTAAACATTCCTAATGCTGTTTAACACTGCTCTATAATTCCATATGGAATGGCAAGAGAAAGACCTGTACATTTGCATTTTAGTCCTTTTAAGTTTTCAGGAACTCAGAATGGCTCAGAACTGCAAGCATATTGCAATGACATTATAGCAGTGGAACAAAGGAGAGCAGCTACCCTATGTGGAATTTAACTAATGTTGAACAGGAGGAGGTAAGCTTTCCCTCCTCCTCTGTTTCATAAAAGCATGCAATCAAACATTAATGGCTCTACTAAAAAGAGACTAACTGGAATTGTGCAGTATGGACATACCTTGAGAAGCTGCTCTATTCCAGTGAAGCAAAGCTCGAGGATAGGTTTCATTTTCTCCTACTATGCTGGCTTCTTCTAGAGAAGAAAGTAATTCAGTTAAATAGGAGCATGGTATATACACACAAGACCACAAAAACCCCCATGCTTATATTCAGTCTGCTGAAATGAATTAAGAACTTGTTTGTGATATAGTACAGATTACTTCAAGATTCAACCTATCTGAAAGTTACAAAACCCCCTTTCATTTATATGGTCTTTCCATGTATCTGCCCACATAAAAGCTAGGAACAAACTATGATTTCACCCTGAAATATTGCTTACCAAGCATCTCTCCCATTCATGCTCTAGGAGATTCTGAAGCATACTTGAGAAATGTCAGAAGATACAAGTCTTTAGAGCACACAATTCAGGCTCTGACAAAGGTGCACTCAAGTACAAGGCTAAACTATAAGCTATTTTAGTTTGACCATCTGGAAAAACAGGACCAGTCAAGTAAACTCCTTAACCAGCCAGAGCCTGCATATTTTATACATCAGTGCTACAGCTACTTCAGAACAGAAGTTATTTTACTTGTCCATGTCACAAATTGAGGGCTGCTTAAGAATCGGAGTTCGGATAGTCAAAGGATTTACAACTTTTTCACTTCTAGCGTAAGTATGGTTTCAGCTATGCCTTCTCACAGTTGACATACAGATTTTCTATATAAAGGGTATTAAATAATTTTAAATTCATCTCTGGTCAAGATGCAGATATATCTGAGAAATGACAATCAGAATTTTAACCCAGGGAAAGATGCTATTTGTTTGCAAGAATGCACTCCCAGCCGAGGCTGTCATTGCTGTAGCTTATTTAAAGACGAGTCAGTAAAGCACCTTTGAAAAACATTAACTGGAAATTAGGATGTTAGATTAGCCTATGAGCCACCAATAGCTGTTTTTGGTATTAAGATTCAAAGCCCTAAAGCTGGTTATGAGACACCTAGATTTCTGGATTTGAGATCCAGAAAGTTTAAAATAATACATTTTGTAGTTTCTAGAAAGATTTGCCACTTGCACTTTCATTGTTTCTCCATGACCTCAAACTCTAAGAAATCCAAGTTCTAGCCACCTAGTTACAATAAGAGACCTGGGACAAGCTTTTTAAAAGTCTAACCAAACCAACCACCCAGCTCTTCATCCCTGCTTCAAAAGTAGTACGAGTAAAGTTACAAAAAAATCTGGGGAAAAAAAGGTGCTGAGAAAAGACATTATACGATAAACAACAAAGAAAACTGAAACTTGTATACATAGTAAAGGCCAAAGGTAAAACTAATGCAATTCCTACTTTATATATTTAAAAATAAAATGTTAAGGGTATGTTTAGGAAGTCAAGGAAAGAAAATTTTCAGCACTGTGCAAGTTTCTAAAGCAACCTCTCCTCATCCCCTTTTTTAACTCCTGTAAGTCAGAATTTAAGTGTATTCTAACTTTTAGGCCAGAAAGCTATCCTTAAGAGGTGAAAATTGAAACTGACTGCTTTCCAGCGTGAAGGGCAGGAAAGAGGACAAGAGTCTCACTGAAGTTCTAACTGAACAAGAGCTATGTGATTATATCTTCAAGCACTCTAGTGTTCCACTAAATTGGCTACTGCAGGCGGATGCCAAAAGAAACTTTCCATACAAATTCATGTCCTTACTCTGATCAAGTATGAAAGCAGCATTGCTCTGTGCAACTTCGTATCCTTGTTCTGCCAAAAGAAGGTACTGAACCACAGCAGAATTTGAATCACCATCTTTATAGCTGTTGTAGGCAGTCATCAGTCTTTCAGACCAACGCCCCCGTTCACACACGTTCTTAAACAACTGAAGAAGAAAAAGAAAGGGAGAAGACTGGTTGTCAGAAACTTCAGAAATTTAAGTACTGCAAGAGGTAAACTTTTAACATTAAAATGCCAGTTGAAAATATTTACATTTCACAGGAAAAACTTGATAGACTAACTCACTGCTGAAAACCAGCTTACTTTAAGATACAGGTTACTAAGCAAATACATGCAAAGATTCAGATGCTTACTCAGAATTATTCTTAATATCAGGTATTTTGTTACACTTAAACCCACGTCTAAGTGAAAAATTCCGTACTTATAAAATACCAATGTTTGCTTTGTATTTAATTCTTTCAATTTTCTTCAAAGTTAATAAAGCAAATACAAACTTGCCACATCAACATAAAAATATACATTATACTCATGAGATACAAAGGAGTTTGAGAATATATCACTTCCTTTTGATTGCCTGGGCTCTGCAGTCACCAGTGGATTTTATTTAAGACAAATTTCCTATATAAGCTGATAGGGTTATATCCAACCTTTTGCAAGTCAGTATTATTTGACCTTTATAAATGGATGATCTTACCTCAACAGCAGTATGACAGGATCGCATCACGCCAGTGCCAGTAGCATGCATCTGAGCCAGATTATAAAAAGCCAGAATGTGGCCACCCTGGGAGGCCAAGTTAAAATATTTCAAAGCTTGTTTATAGTCTCTCTTGACTCCAATGCCATCTAAAAGGAAGAGTAAGTCATTGCTATTCATTCCTCTTGAAAAGCAGAGTTGTATGAAATATAGCATGTACTTACTGTTTAAAATTATTAAAGAAAAACATTTTGAAAGTGTTACAAAAAAACAAATAAAATATAAATTCAATGCAGTAATATCACTCACACACAGTATATCCACACTTCTAATGCCACCTAGTGAAGAATTACTGAAAGGGCAGATGCTTAGACCCAGCAAATCATCATTTTGATGCCACTTACTGTAATACATGGAACCTAGTTGAAGTTGTCCATCAACCCATCCCTGTTCTGCAGCCTTCTGGAAATACTTCAGTGCTAGCTCATAGTTCTGCAGGAAGATTTGGTCCAGTCATTAGAGCCTTGCAATACACCACAATTTAAGTAAAGAAAGAAATGACGCACGTGCAAGTGCGTGGACAGATCTGTATTACAGAAAAATTGCAGCAAGATGTTCTAGTGTGAAAATATTCACCTGGTCAAAATTTGAAAACAAAAAATGAAATACCCTCCAATGATATCAGCATGTCTTAAGTCTGTACCTATCTATCTCAAAGCTGGCATCCATATATAGCATTGCTATGAATGGTTATGCTTAACAGAATGGATTCCCTGTTCTGTTTCTAGAACACCTATTGAACTTATTTTCTCAACTTTGGTCCAGTTCAACTTTTGAATATCTGCTTACATGGCTAAATATAAAACATTGGACAAGAAACCCTCTTGTGGGAAAAGCAACAAGGGCAAATGAACTAATTAAGAGTTGCAAAGTGTTCCTCCACTCTCACAAGATACACAAAATGGGGACAGTTAGGATTTGTTTTATTTCACAAGAAAATTAGAGCCAAGTTCAAAACTGCTAAAAATTCACACTGCTATGCACTTCTAATAGCTTCAGCAACATTTTCAAACTTATTAGAAGCAACTCAGCATGTTTCATAGCTGCTAACTCCATAGTGATTTTTTTTGTTTTTTATATTACAGATTTCCTCACGGAATTTTCAGTGTAACAGAAATTTTCACAATTAAGTCTTCTATAGTACTTCCCCTCCAGAGAAGGAGTTTGCTGACAAGAAGAAGTTCAGGCGACTGTCAAAAGCTTACCACTGGAACACCTCTTCCGTAGAGGTAAGCCATTCCTAATCCACTCTGTCCAACTGGATTACCCTGAAAACACAGAAAAAACTTCTGCAAAGAAAGGCAAAACCTACAGCTACATCTTTCAAATTTGTTATGTCTTTAACATCACTAAAACAAATAGTGCTTAAGATAGATTTGCTTTGTAACTTTGCTCCTAGTAAGAGTGTTTTAGGGAAAAATAGCGTCTTTGGTAACTTTTATTCAGTAACTACACAGGTGATAAACACAAAAAACCCCTTTCAACATTAGTTATGAAAATCTACCGTGCACTTTCAAAATGTCGTACGAGATGTAGAACCCATAGCCATAGAAAGGGAGGCATTAATAGCTTATTCATCTTCAGCAAATTGAGACATCCTTGCTCTAGGACAGAGGTGTAGAACAGCAACCTAGTTGTGGAATGCAAGAGCCATGAAGGCAGTCGTCTTAACACCAGTCCCTTCAAAACTTTATTTACTGTGTTTCACACGCTAAGTATCTTTCCTCAAGGTCTACTCATGCTTTAACTGTACAAATGCTACCATAACGGATAGGTCAAAGACAGACACAAGGGATTAACAGCCAAAAAACAAACACTCCAATGAGATGAGAGACAAAACCAAACCATTATCTATTCACTGACCACAAAACAGAACCAAAATAACATAGTATCAGTGTACTGTAAATTTCTGTGACAAAACAACTACATGTTAATTTTCATTAATCCAGACAGAATTGCACACTATTTAGGTGGACTAAATAGTGTGCCATACTGATGGCAGCATTCATGAGAGTTAGACCCCTTGTGCTGAACACAGCTTCATGAAGCACCATGACCAGAACCAGAAGCAGTTTCTGACATCTTACACAAGTAGAGTTTAATTATGGGATAATCTGGGACAGAAGTTGGGAGTAGGTGTATGCACATGGAAGTGAACAAAAAGAAGCATTTGCAGCATTTCTGAGCTAATCAACTTCTTAGTGAATATGCTGTATTTCTAGCTTACAGATAATCATACCATATCAGCAGCTTTCTTGAAATACTGAAGAGCTGTTTCATTGCTCTGAGGTACAACATCACTTCCTTCTGAGTACATCTGAAGGAGAAAGGCATTATTGAAGAACAGCTGAAGAAGACAGTTTAGCATGAAGATCATGAAGCATCTTCACTTTGCATATGAGAGAGAGACTATTGTACTATTAGACTATTCTGACTATTGCATTACTGAATAATCATTAAAGAACTTGCCCAGAAGCAGAAAACACATCTTTACACTGCAAAATTCAGATTCAAAGGGTTTAATTTTCTAATGGAGAATGAACTGCCCATAAAATTAAAGTTTTCATGAAAATATCCTTCATTTTTGAGTTCTACCAGTGTGCAGTGAAGAATATATAATCAGGCAAAAATCTTGTGAGACCAGTGGATGCCAAGGTATGTTGGCAGTTAAAATACTTCTTGAAAACAAAGCAAAAATTGGTTACTAAACCCTGTTCATTTCATCATTTATTAGATACAAAACACTCAAGCAGTAGAGAAAGCAGGAACCTGCAATTTCTCCTGTCAAGTGCCTTGACCAGCACATTATACTATTTTTTCATGCTGTAAAGACATGAATTTTGCGTCCTCTACTGCAGTGACAGCCTGAGAAAGATAAGCTAGAGCTGCTGCTTATTGCAGCCTAACCTTCCTTAGGAGGTACTCAAATGGACTAATAAGGATTTAGCTCCTCACAGGGTGAGGGTAGCCTGTAACCCAGATCTCAGACAAGTGACCTAAATACCTTTCTAAGCAGTAACACATTAACATCACCAATAGCAGCTTGTCAATCATGTTTTAGATTAAAAAAGGGACTTTAATCTGAGAAAACTGATACAGTGGCCCTCCTTGCAGAGAGACTCAGGCTTTGGTTCAGAGTAGATACAGACCTATTGGCCACTCTGCCTCAGATGCCTCAGTTCTCTACACAGAGTAAGAATACAGATGTCTTTGCCCCTTCCTTCCTGAATTTACTGTTTCTCACCAGGCAAAATTTTGAGAAGCCTAGCTTTTCTCCCACACACTCTGTAGAAGAGCATGGCGGCCTACTTTGAGTTTTGAACTCCACCACAGAAAAAGGACATTTAGGTATTTAACTATTTAATTAAAAAAAAAAATCTTGTTGAAACACTATTTAGAAAAAACAGAAGTTCCTAAAGTGAAGGAGCAAATAGAAAATTTAGACTAGACATCATAGACTATGACACTCAGATCTTGCAGGACAACTCAAAACAGTAGCAAAACAGAAGTACTTAGATTCCAACATTCAAGTTTTAGACTGCCTAATATCAAAAAGTAGGAGGCATCTGTTATTTTTCATTGAAAGGCAGTCAATTTGCATACTTCTGAGAGTGTTCATAACTTACCTTTCCTAGAAAGGCCATGGCATGTGAATTACCAGCATTAGCTGCTTGATTGAAGTACTCAAATGCTCGCTGTAGGGAAGAAAACAAGTAGTTTAACCACCATGACTATGATTTGAATACCTTTTCCTGCAAATGGAGCAGAGGAGAGTAGATTGTTTGCCAAGTTAACAGGTTGTTCTGGGGATAAGAGTTATCAATCCCACCTAATTTAATATGTGTAATAGGGTTCCCCACTTATAATCAGAATATTGAGCAGCAATCCTTCTCAGTGTATTCCAAAAATCAGAGAAAAAACAACCTACAACTGCTACTATAAGCAAACTACACAGGTAAATCTTACTTCCTTATTGTACCTCCAGCCCTGTTTAGAAGAGAGATCTGCCAGTTCCTATTCCAGTTTTACACAGAGCTTCTGTCTACAGAAGCAAAATATTCCTGCAAGCCACATAAAGTAGACTATCATTGCTAAGGCACGCACAGTGCATCATGAAAATTCTACATGTAGAAAAGCTCAGCCAGTTTCAAGTACTACTTGATCAAAACCTGGTCTTTATCTTTGACTTCCTAATTTCTAAGATTATTAGTCTCAAACTACTTCTGTAAGAAAATCAGCTCCATGAACTAGTCACATAAAGATTAAGTTTCACTGAATGAATTCTTACTGAACAAGACTACTGAAGTCATTAAATACCTCATGGTGGTACTTTTAACACTTTTGCCTGTGGTCTCAGCTATACTTTCTCCACCTCCACCAAGTATAACAGCCATCAGAGCTATACAGAAAGGGTACCTGATGATTTTGCTCTACTCCTCTTCCTCCATGCAAGTGCAACTGTCCAAGGCCAACCTAAAAAACAAATTTTACATTGCAAATAAGTCACTTTTCCCTAAGGACTTTCTTCTTCTAGTAATACAGATACCAGTCAGCTAATTACATGCACAAAGACAGACCACATCAGAGTTAAAGATGTCACAAAGTCTAAAAGCACAGATTGGCTTCAGTAACTACAGTACAGTCCTATTTTTTCCACATTAGCCTAAGTGGAAATTTATCCTAGATAAAAGTGACGTGACTGTCCCAGATACAAAATAATAGTTGTTCACTTGAAGAATTAGGTAGGCAGAATTAAGTCATATATGACCAAGTTAATTGTGACAATTTGTGTATATTAGTGTCCTCCCCTCCTGCATTGTGTGTAAAAGAGGTCCAGCATGCAGAAGACACGTAGAGCAGAAGCAGCAAGAAATTGAGGTCACCCGTTAGGACCAGTTCTTTTGATCAAGGCTTCCTCCACAACATCTAAAGCTATCCTTAAACTAGTCTGGCAGGTTTCTAGTGAAAGCCAAGATCCTCCTTTCGAACATATTAAAGTTGTAATGTTTTGGACTTATTTTCCACAAAAATTTGCATTTTCTCTGCAAGTTCTACCTCAAATACTAAAATATAAGCCACTTCTCATAAAAACTAATCAGGAAATAGCAACCAGGTTGATTTAGGAGGAAGAGAAAACTAAAGCTCTAACATGTCTCTGTATTTCATAAAGGTGTTCCTGTAATTCTTGGAAACCTCTGCATGCCATCAGGTGAACTTAATCTTACCTGTGCTTGTACATCTCCTTTCTCTGCTAAAAACTGATAATACTGAATCAAGTCTTCTTCTAGCATCCCACTTGCCATTCCTGGATTTTCTACTTCATCTGCTAAGCGAATTCGCTGAACCACTGTGCCACCAGTCAAAGAAATGTCACTAGCAACTGGAAAACAGATAAGAAATTTTCAGACAGTTTTGTTCAATACAAATATTACACTGCAACTCAGTAAACACAGATCTCTACAGAGCTTCAAACTGTTACTCAGAGAGAATTAATTACTTTGACACTCTCTAAAAATTATATTAAAGAATTATATTTCAATAGATAGAAATAAAAATAGCCTGTCATGATTCAGAGCCAAATAGACAACTTGTTTAATAGCAGGAATTTTATATGCTAGTTTTATACTATTAGTGTTGATAGTACTTATAGTATCTTCTAGGTGAGTGATGTAGAAATACATAGAAAATCAAGAACATTAGCCTAGTAAAAAGTTTTTACCGTGATTAGCTACAAGTCGGTAGTGAGTGAGAGCAGATTCACAACTTTGAAGGACTCCTATCCCAGCCCAGTACCGGTAACCCTAGAAAAGAAAATATAAAAAAAAGTATGTTGTCAAATAACCAATAGTCCCATATCATTTGCCAGGTAACAAATTTTTTTTCACGTTACTTGAGCAAGATTTGACAAGCCAGTAAGTAAAACAAAGGCCACAAGTCCATTGTGTCTGCATTAAAAGCAACTGACTGATGCCATTAAAGGTTAAGCATAGCCAATATACTTCAGATATTACTCAAGAAAAAGCAAATAAGCAGAATGATATTTATGTGTGAAAACCTAAAGCCTTTTACTTTATGTCTTAAATGTCACAATACTGATTAAAACAACATCTTCTGTAAAGATCTCTGGCTTTCACAGTTCTTGTTAGCCTATAAAAATTAGACGTCTGACACTTCTGCTTTAAGTCAAGAGATGTAAACATGGTCCACCTAAATTCATAGTGCTATACAGCTTAAAACGAGCAGACTTCTCCTTAAGTTAACAAGGAATAATAGGGAATATACTATTGCCCACCCAATGCATGCATGATGATATAATATTTGGACAGTGTATTCACATGAATGCAAAGCTTAAATTTTTAATGTAAGAGTACAAAAAAGTTCTTGCATGTGCAAAGTTATTAACTGTCTTACTTACCAAGATCATATGGGCGATCAGATTTCCTCCTAAAGCTCCAAAAGTGTAATACACTAGGGCCTTAAAACAAAATCATTGGTTATTTAACATCTGCCTCCAAGATAAAATACAAGAGCACCCACTGAAGATTCCAAAGTTACCTTAGCTTGACTAGAATTGACTCCTAGACCAGACGCATATAGAAATCCAAGAGCCTAGAAATAAAATAAAGTTTGTCAGCACATCCTTTGAAAAATCCAGGATCAGTTTTCCTGGAATACATAAGTATAAAGTCAACCAACAATTCAAAGCTGTAAAGAATATGCCAAGCTCTACCTTCACTTCGGTACCTCCTATATCTAGGTCCTTCCCTGCCCCTTAAAAAATATGAAGTTTCTAAACTATTCGGTTGTCTAGGACACTAACATCTTGCCAGAATTCAGTCTAGTGGATCGAACACAAGAAGAAACTATTACTTCCCTGAATGCCAAAAGTAGATCCAAAGGTCCTGAACAGCAAAAGTAAGTGAAGATCAGCAGTATCTGTCAGGTTATTCATGTATCTTATTCATCTCATACACCATTGCAAACACACATGAACTATGACCTTCTCTAGAAGAGTCTTAATGTTTATCTAACAGATCCTATGAACTCACTATTTTGCATCTGTTCTGCCATGGGTAAGTTGCATTTATGACTATAAATATAAGCAGTCAGAATGCACAGAGCTGTTTGGCTGAGGTTTTTTTTTTTTTTTCAAAAGTTATTTTTATTCTTAAAATTTACATAATTACTGCTCTATCCATAACACCTGTTACAGCTGTAGGGCTCATAGGAGAAACTAGTAGCACAGAAGATAACAGTGTGTGTGTATATATATATATTTATAAAGGTGTCTGTATTTCAGTGTTCTAAGACTATTCTAGGCAATTCTGAAAGTATACAAAAAAATCACCTCATGCAGACAATATTGAATTCTAGACCAATAAAAGACAAGGTCTTCATTGAGATATAAAATCTCTAGAGAAAACATATTCCTGCTTTCTATGGTAAAGCAGCATTCCAACATTAAAAAGGGAACAGTAGGAGACTTGGTAGCCAAAAAGCTAAAAGAAACTGGATAATTCCTAAAGAAGCTGACACTTTCAAAACAAAACAGAGAACTAAATAAGTATATGCAGAAATTGAGACATTAAAATAGGTAACACGCAGATTTTATGACATTACATGTGAACAATTACATATGAACAATTCTATAATGTTCAAAGGCACATGGACAAAGTCCCATTCCACCAAACAGCTTTCAAGATTCCTAGGAGTTTATAACTTTCTAGATTATAAACATGTGTGTATATCTACCTATCTCAACGAAAACTGCAGGTGAAAAGCCAGAACATCCCACACAAACAGCAAGAAAAAAGTAACACAGAGTTTCAGAGAAGATCTTGTTGGCTGGAGTCACCTTTATCTACCTGGGTTTTTTTGACTTACACATCCAATCTAGTCAGTCACACAACAAGTAAGAAATTAAATGAAAAGACCATCACCATACTATATCAATGGTAGTTTAACGTTTTTCCAAACTCAAGGAGAAGACCTGTTTCCATGTGTTTACCTTGAGGGTGCAGATGCCATTTGTTACTGCACCCTCAGTAATACTAGCAGCATACAGAAGCTAGGCAAAGCAGAAGCATTTGGGGGGGACAATCTTTGAACCAAAGCAAGGCACTGGTGAAATTTTAAAAGGTAAAGGCAATGAGTAGTCAGGATCAAGAAATGCTTAGGCAAGCACTAGTAAAATACATCTCCTAAATCAGAGCCTGAACCAAATGCTTTACATCAAGTTTTCAAACAATTTAAAAAAGCAGCACTGTCTGCTGTCTTTTTTTAACTAGGTAGATACCACTTACTGTTCTCATTCTATTCTGGATGCAAGAACAATCTATAAAACCACCTTAGAACAAGTACAATCTATAAAACAATTTATAAGCCTATAAAAACTTCTGTAGCATCTAAGGACATACATACCATTTGTCCTTTAGGAGAACCTTCTTCTGTTAGTTTTTCAAATAGTTCTTTTGATGACTGGATGTTCTGCTTCAGGTAATCCCCAAACAACAAAGCGTAAGACACTTTTTCCATTGCCTTGGTATGATTCATGTCAGCTGCTTTCAGAAGATACTGATACGCTCTTAAAAGAAAAGAATTTCTTAGTCACCTTGAGGCAGAGGAGCAGATACCATTTATAAACATGAAGATTCTGGGGATGTGTTTTGTTCCTCTGGTTTAGCCTCTATTTTCTACTAATGCATCTACCTACAGTTGTTTTCCAGCTCCAAATCACCAATCTACGCAACAACTCATATGACTTAGCTAACACACACCAGATTTTAATGTTCACTTTACTCCGTACGCAAAGCAGTATGCGGTTCTTCCCCTGTAAGTTATACAAGAAATTTAAGGTCAAATGATCATGTGTTTGTAGCAACAATTTTAAGTTCTGTGCTAGGTATCTAGTAGGACCACTAGTTTGACAGCTTCACAGATTATGACAGAAAAAAGAAATCTGAAAAAGACTATGGAGTCTCTTTGATTTGTTGAGTACAAAAATCATTCCAATGAAAACACTAAGTGTTGCATGCAAGACAACTATACATATGACCAATTTTGTGATGAAACAGTCACGCTAACAATGAGCAAGTTCTCTGGAAACTCCCCTTTCTATTTCAGCCTCAGAACTTACAGTAGTCCTCCAAAGTAATTTCACAGCAGCTGGTTTCACAGCATTTTAAAAAACCTGTAGCCTTAAACATCATCACACAGTACTGTCAAGCAAGCTTCAGCTTGATTTCTCATAGACCTTTGATATTGTTCCAACATTTTTCTTTACCTGTCCTCCTTTCTATTCTCAGACTTGTCTTCTTTCTTTAGGACAGGCTGAGCACATCTGGTTCCTCACATAATTTCATCTTCTAACATAGTGTAAGGTGTTCAAGAGAACTGAGATCTAATATTGTTTTACAATTCCTACACTAATATTTTATACAAAAGAATACTAGCCAGAGTTTAACAGATACTGTCTCCATTTGTCTTTGCCAAAGCGTGATAGACAACCAACCTCTAGTTGTGCTTCAGTTTCCTTGATGCATAAAGTAGAAATATGCTCCCTTACCTCCATGAACAAGTTTAACATGGTAATAGTGCTCACACAATAACCAGTAGCTTGAAGTCACCACTTACTGATGAAGTTGTCAACGTGAGCACCAGGGAGTTCTAAATTAATATAGCTATTCTTAATTATAGTGGTAGGCTGACAACTATTTCATCAGTAACTGGATATACACAGAGTAGAAAGTAAACAGACTAGAATGAACAGAACACCCCTACCATTATTTTTTGGGTTTTGTCTACAAGCATTATCCTTTTCTCTCATACAGTGTTAATTATTAGAGCTTCAACAATTCGTTGAGATTAAGTTTACTACTATTTTTATGGTGACCAAAAACATCAGAAAGCAGAAACAAAACCAGAGCAGAACAAGAAATGCTGATTTTTTTCCCCACTTACTCTTTGAAGTAGAATGAGAACCAGACTATAAGAAATATTTGAAAAAGGACAATTATCTTGTATCATGTTCTCAGTTTTTTTTCCTGGGCAGTTGCCACATAAAAATTGTGGCTAGAGAACTGCAACACCATCTTGCATTAAAGGCGATATTTTGATGACATCCACTCTTCAGAAATTAATCTTATATAATTTGTAGTGGATTCAGAGGAAAGCAGGCATAAATTTTTTTCCAAATACCCTGAAATTACTATCTATTTTCAGTACTGCATAGTTTGATGCTAAGTCCAATAAAGTGCAGAGTCCCAGGACAACTCATTTAAGTTATTTTTCAGTTAAGCTACAGTGTCTAGCCATGTCATCTTTCTCTTGTGGGGATGGAGGAAGTAGACTTACTCTTTCTTCTGAGCCTTTTTACTGCTTTCATTAAGGATCTTCATTCCAGTCTGATAAACATCCTCAGCTTCTTGCATCTGCCTTCTCTTATTAGACTGCTCTTCAGCTAAAACAAAACAAGAGTACATTAAGAGCTCAAATTATACAGCTCTCTCAAAATTCCTAAAGGGAAAATGCAGCCAGAAATACATGTCTGAAGACCAACAAACAACCCAAGTGATTACAAAAAGCTGTCCAAAGGAGGTGTTGGATATCTTAGTAGACAGTTTCTTCTCACATGGTGTCTGTCATGTATGAGTTTGCTCTTAAAATATTCTTTTCATTGGTCCAAAGCAAGCTGTGCAAGAAAGAAAGGTTCCTCCTTCAGGAGGACGCTTCCTAGAGAAGGGTTGCCTTTGTGCAGCAGATCAGCAAGTATAATGGGAAACACTGTCAAACCACTATACTCCTACAGCCTCGGAAACGAAGAGTTCTATAGACGCCTCCACTGCAAGATTTCACAAATAGCTTTGGGAAGCAACATTTCCATTATAATTTTTTCCATCATGAGAACTTTTCCCTTATAATTACTTGCATATCACAGTATAAAATGGCCATTAATATACGACAGGGAGTTCTAGACCCTGAAATAAAGGGCATTAAGAGGACTGAAAACACTAGCTTAAGAAAGCATTCCTTGAACAAGACATCAGGTTACTTACTTTCACAGAAGCCCCACTTCTGATCTTTCTTGTAATCATAGGTTGTTGCACACCAAAGCCTGCCATCTTCCCTCCCATCTGCAGTGCACTCTGCATACTCCTTCTCCATGAACAAAAAGGGGAAGTGGCAAGGTTCACCATCTGCAGTGCCTCCAATAGCTGTCAAAACTGAAAATACATACCCAGGAATTAGACTGCTTTCCTTTATTCCACTAACTTAAGTCATCTATTACATAGAGGAAAGCCTACCTAAGTTGGTTTTAATTTCTGTGCACTGCATATAATCAAATTCTCAGTAAAATTTCTAATTTACAAAAGCCTGAAAAAGCAATTATTTCTCTAAATAGCACTCGAAAAAATGTTATTTTTAATTAGGAAATGAAACGGAAGGTATGTAACTTCTTATATTCCTCAGTTCCAAGCAAAGAAATTATTTTTTGTTTAGATTGGAGAAGGCAAATCTCAGTTACATTTTTACTGCCTACCAACATAAACAGCCCTTCCTTTCACTTTCTCTCCTCTGCACTCCCTTCCTCATGCAAAGGACTACCCTCAAAGCACACTTCAGTGCATACATTCATTTGAGCCCCAGGGTTAGACAAAATCATGACAGAACCACTCACATTGCCAAATGTGATACTGAAAGTACTTGAATATCAGCAGGGAGTACGCTTAGAACATAAAACTGTAAGAAAAGACTAATTAAATCACTATGAGTCCAGTCATTTTTCTATTGTTGCATATACTTATATTGAAAACTTAATTTCACTTTGCCAATATATTTAAGTTGCATTCAAAATTACTTTGAACAGCATGACTTATCATTTCTCATGCACTAGAATATCAAAGGTTACTGACTCCAATAGTACATTTTTTTAAATAAAATCAATCTTCTATGAAGACTAAGAATTCTCTTCATTTTTTGAAAATGAAATTATTTCAATTAGCCTTAGGCTTTTCTCTTTCACTAAGCTTAATCCAGCAGCTTCATTTGAAGGCATTTGCAAAGTCATACAATTGAGAATGTCCATTATACAGTGTTTTTTCAAGTTAAGTTTGTAATTTTCGTGGTTATAGAGAAAGCTAGTTCTTTTTTTTTTTTTTAGGGTCTGTAATTGTAAGGCCTAGAGATCATACTAATTTAAAAATTTCATGTTGATTTTTTGAAGCATAAGGAAGTCTCCAGAATTAGTTACCCTGTTCAAATTGCTCTTCTTAATCTGATTCCTTCGCAGATGTTCTACCACATCACTCCAAGTTAATTATCCCATAACACACAAGGAAAAATGTTATTTTCAGAAATTGCTTTCAAAAATAATGTGTCCAGATGCAATTAACCCGGAATCATTTTAGACAGCTGTTAACCACAAAGTAACACACAAACTCATGCTAAAGGGTACATATGACTACAACTGATGGGACCTTTTATCACTGTCATTTGAACAAACTCCAGGTCCAGGTTATTAACACTACCTGACAACTTAAGTTTTATTTGTATTGTTTAGTACCACGTCTCCTGTATTGAAAGCAATTGGACACGAACCATTTACACAGTGCTCTGCATGAGAGTTAGCTGTATGCTAAAGTTACGAAATTACTCTGCCCCAGTCCTCCTCCTTCCCTTTTTTTAATTCTAAATTCAACTATAATGCGGTTCCTCCCTCCCCCCCAGAGAGTAACAAATACTAATGCCTAAATCAACACAGCAATGCTATCACAGGATAAAATGCTCACCACTTATTTTATCATGTAAAGAATGATAAATACAAACTGAAGCAAATAATTTACTCAGAGGATAAATTACTTTTTGTCAAACTGAGTGTACAAGTAGCAATTTACCTGTTTTACTATGTCTGAATAAAATATATGGTATTTTATCACAATATTTTGTGCCTATTTACTTATATCTCATACTTTATGCTGCATGAAACCCAAATATAGATTACTCATAAGTACTGGTTACATTACTGTAAGATTTCTCCAAACAGGAAAACAAATGCAGCAGAAATTGCCAGCTCTGTATAAACTTGTTGGCAGTTTTCAGCAAAACTTGTTATTATGGGACTTGATTGTTACAAAACATACAACAGAGAAGATAAATAATTAAAAAAAAAATACCATTTTCTTTACACACAAGACCTCCTCACTAATCAGAAAACAGCAGGACAACTTCTTTATTAGAAGGGTTAAAAGCCTTAGTAGTACTAATTCTAAATTACTGAAGATGAGATTTTTTTTTCTGCTTGACATCCTGCAAAATACACATAGAAACTTGAAGAATATTATTTTTTTTTCCATGCAATCTCATGACCACACACAGGAGCCAAACTGTATTCAGAAAAGCTTTAACCTTCCTTTATGCAGTCCTGTCACCAGTAGCTCATTCAAGAGATGTAATATCTGTACTTGAGGTAGATTCCTGTCCTGCTCAGTTAAAGTTTGCCAGTAAAGCTGTCCCTTAGCAGTTTTTGTTCCTGCCAGAATACAAGTACTTTTCCTTCAGAATTGCTTTTTAGATAAAACCAGTAATCCTTCCACACACAGAGCTTATTTACCTCATAAGAGGTTCCAGAAATTGTGCATGACTTTAAATTTAGGGTTTTTGAAAGTCACTTGCAGTATTTTGACAGGTGTAGTTAAAAAACTTAGTTGCCAGGGAGCAAGCCTCTGGTTACACCCTTCTGAAGTGAAATTAAAAGTACCTCAAAGTTTACTTTTGAAATAGACTGCACTGACTAAACAAGGTGAACGTGGTAACATGGTGCTTAGCTCACATGTTTAGTTAGCACTGAGTTGTGTGGTGGTGTTTGGTGTGGGGTTTTTTTTTGTTTTGTTTTTTTTTTTTTTTTTTTTTTTACAAACTGTATGCTAGTTCTGCATTAGTAAGGATGGCTTATTAGAAAACATTGCAAGTTGGTATATAACAGAGCTGATTTCATAACTCCTGCTTTCTTTTGACATTCAAATCTGAGTTGAGAAGATAGACAAATACTAATATTACCATGGAACTATATTTTTTCAGTAAAGTTGAAGATTTACTTTTTATGGACAAGTGAAAAGGAAAAGTCTTTGCTGCATAGGCTAGGGTACTCAACTGTGCCAACTAGTTATCATTCACTACTAACTGCTAGTCAAAAAATAATTTAAAATTTATATTTTTATTAGTAGTAAAAAAAAGAAATACTAGAATTCCCTGGGAATTTAGGCACAAGGATATTAAGGTTTTACCTATATTTAAAAACTTACTGAAGTTTACATGCAATTTAGATGTTGCCCTCAGGCTCCCAATGCTGTCTGAGGAAGCTTGTCTTTGCATTGCAATTTGTTCCTTCTCTATCAACTGACTCCAGGCAAACAGCCAGCCAGCAGGCTGAAACACTGACGCAATTTCTCCTTCTATGGCTGGTATAAATACACATAGCATAGTATGTGTACTTGAGTCCTATTTGAAGAAATCAGGACTTTCTCCTTTTGATAGTTAAAGCTTTCCAAGAAGATGGAAACAACTAGAATTATGAAAAACCCTTTCAAATGCGTCTAAAAATACCACTCAGATTTCAATCACAATATATTCGACAACTTTTTGATGTTACTTTCTAATGGAAAAGGCAGCAATTACCATTCCATTCCAGAAAGGTTAAGGCACACTAGTTATTTTGTATGTTCAAAATTAATATTTGTGTTCATCCACATGCCATAGTTACTCAGACACATCTTTCTTGCCACTTGTTCAAAAGTCTGTGAGCAGTTACCTGGACTCTGTATTTCTGCTTCTTCCAAATCCTTATTTAATAGATTTGACATTTCTAGAGAGTTCAACTCTTCTAACGAATTCTCTTTTTCCTCCTCTTGACTGTGAAAGTTCTCTTCATCTTCCAACTGAGAGTCTGATTTCCCTGATTCAAGGAAGATCTGACCCGCTACCACTCGAGTTCCTGTGGAATGGTCCTTTACCTGGTCCTCTGCAGATAAAGTCTGAAGGAAAGCAGCCACATAATTTAGAAGATTAGAAACTTAGCAGCAGCAGCTGGCAAAAACCCCATTACTTTTAAAATATATGATTAATTAAAATACTAAGTTTAAACAGTAGCATCAAAAGTAAGTTGAGCTACCTCTATCAGCTCTCATTGACTCTATCCCTTTCAGTTCTTTTTAAAAAAAAAAATTCCTGAGGATATAACACAACACTAATTATTCTGATGCACAGAAGAAATTAATGAGACAGCAAGAGCTACAGAACAGTTTAAAATAGGAATCAAATCATAGTTCTGAATTTCAGACTTCTGCTCTCACTCCACAAGTAAAACAGGATGACTAGAAACTTATTTCCTTACCTTTGACTCCAGTGATTCATCTTGATTTCCCTCTTCATCTAGAAGAGATAAGTCAGTAAAATGCTTTTCCATGAGTAATTTTCTCAAAAATAAAAATAAGTTTAGCTATAATATTGTACCATGGTTCTGAGATATTCTAGTGTACTAAGTTGACTAATGCACTTCAGAAAGTCATTATTAGTGTTGTCAGGAAGAATAAAATGTTTCACAGACAATCCTCTTCCTTAAATTATATCAACACAACTGTGCATCCAGTACTGAAAAAAATCAGTCCTCTAGATTACTACACATCTGAATTGTTCCAGTCCAACTAAACTACTTAAGGTACATATCAAGTGAGAAGGGCCTATGGAACCTAAGGTTTTTAGTCACCAAATCAGCTTTAGTATAAATAGCTTCAGTAACGACCAGAAAGTTACATTAATACCACCCCATTTATAATTAAACATTGTTCTTTACAGAACGCCAATTAATTTTACCTAACCATCATATATATTCAAACCTTTATATAGAGGTGTCTCTTCAGAACTGTGAGAAATTAGTTTGCCTTCAAGATACTGTTGAAGAGCTGCAAGCCTTGTTTTAACTCTCATCTTTCTTATCTGAATGGGCTATGATGTGATATTTGATTAGAAAGATTGGAAAGATATGAAGAGGTAAAGAAGAAAGGCTATTTGGCAGAGATCTAAAGGAACAGAGATGAAAAGGAAGATGATGATAATCAGAAGAGCTTATTTATGACAGCTTTACTATTGTTTTGCAGAACTGTGCCTCTTTTCTTCGCTCCTGTAACTTAAATGGGCCACTCTCTGCTTCAAACAACTTGGTTTGCACTATTATGTGGACTGAAAGCCTCTAGAATCATCACAGCCAAAATGCAACTGTTCCGTCAGCAGTATCTGATACCACCTCATTCAGCTAAACAAAAGCCCCCACATTTGAAAGAAGATGCTACAGGCCTTACTCTCTCTGGTACACGACTTGCTTAAATCAAAATAAAAGCTCAAAATATAAAGAGATGACTAAGCAAAGCTGCCACTAACTCGTACTACATTTAGAAATCCTCCCCTCTTCTGAGACTCTGGGCTGTGTAATGCCCTATAGCAGTGGTAAAGCATTGACAGGCTAGAGACCTGCAGTATGACCGAAAAGGTACCTAAACTGATAGAAGTTAGTGCTTGGTACATGAGATACACCATTTAGTATGTTCTGGTTAGCTATTAAAGACTACCTGCACAAGTACTGAATGCCAACAAAACTCTCCAAAAGTTTAGAGAACTGACTTACTGTAAGCATTTGCAGCAAACAAAACTCAACATACTTTTCATCCTCATGCAAGTAAATTGTCTTACCAGAGATAAATAATCTCTGAAGTGACAAACTGGAAACATGTCACTTATCAGCTCATGTTTTGAGGACTATTACTATAAAGGGAGCAACTGCAGATATTTGCAATGAAAGGGCTAATCTTGGAAGCCAGTTTCTAAAAAGTGATTTCCACACTGTTATTTGAAGTATAATTTTTTGATTAGAACAAATAGTAAAAAGATGAGGATCAACTTTAAGTTGTAATAGCATAATAAAAATCAAGAATAAACGCTAAGACTTATAAGTAAAGCTTATTAAGGTGACAAGAAGTTTGACAATTGCCATGGTTTAACCCAGCAGGCAGCCAAAATAACCACACAGCAATTTGCTTGCTCCCCTCACAGTAAGATGGGGGAGAGAATTGAGAAGAAAAAGGCAAAACTCATGAGTTGGGATAAAGGCAGTTTAATAGGACAGAAAAGCAAGATATTACTAATAATATGCAAGTAATGCACAGCACAATTGCTCACCACCTAGAACCAATGCTCAGCTAGTTCCTGAGCCATGGTCCCTCCTGGCCAACCCCCCCGCTATAAATGGAGCATGATGTCATATGTTACGGAGTATCGCTTTGGCCAGTTTGGGTCAGCTGTCCTGGCTGTGTCCCCTCCCAGCTTCTTGGACGTCCCTCCCCTTCTTGTTGGCAGGCCAGTATGAGAAGTTGAAAAGCCCCTGACTACTTGGCAACAACTAAAATATCAGTGTGTTATCAACATTATTCTCATTCTAAATCCAAAACACAGCACTATGGTAGCTGCTAGGAAGAATATTTAACTCTATTCCAGCTGAAACCAGGACAACAGTGCAACTGAGACATAGATAAGTCTGTTGAGCGTACTGAAGAGGATATAAAGCTCAAAAAGTTTGACTGCCAGCAGACAGAGGATTAAAAAGTATCTAGAACAGCTGGTGTGGGTAAGCAGCTGTACCCTACAGGTCCAAAAATGAAAACGTGTAGAGCCTGTCAGAAAAAGTAGTGGAAACAGCAAAAAGCACTCCAGATGAAACAGACTCCGCAAAGTAGCAACCAAGGTAGGATAAGAACACACCCCAGTTTGGAAAAGACACACCAAGAGAGCCATAAGAAAAAAACCAAGGATAGCTGCATTTTTGCAGAGACCACAGTGCTTATCAGCTTGCAGAATCTTAACAGATAAGGTTGATTGTGATAAGTCCTAACAAGTTCTACCACTAACTTCAACACTTCAGATCACCATATTACAGTTGGGTTTTAAATATGGTAAAAGTAGGCATTTAGGATACTTGCTGGTCCTTTCTATTTTGAAACTGAGACAAATTTGAAGTTACCATGTTACCCACAAATTACATTCTACATTCCTAAATAATTTTGATCTAAAACCAAATGCCACCTCTACAACTTCAAACTCCAGAGCTTGTCAAGAGATTCAGACATGCTTCTGGAGTGGGGGAAAACTAAGACAGGGTTAACCTGCCCAGTAGTTTATATGCTGCTATTAATATATACAAAGCACTTTTACAGTACCTGCTAATGCAGTAACAAATATCATGTGATTTTTAAAAGCTATACCAGCTAGGGTGTTTGTTTTTTTCTGTTCAGAGCCTATACGCCTGACATCACTAGCCCATTCTAGCTTTTTAGTAAAGGCTTTACTAAGTGACTTCAATCTGTGGAAGGCTGACTTTACAATGAAACACCACACAAGGTCAAATAAAAATAAATAAGGTATACCATCTATGCACAGATATCAAAGAACAATTTTATTGTAACTTCATATGCAAAGTAAAAGGTTTCCTGAATTGAAAGGCAAGAGACATTTCAGCAACATAAGGTAGAGCTCATTAAATGTTTGGTCATCTTCCTTGAAGGTAAATAAACCTATTTCATTTCTATTGCATCATTTAAATTCTCTCTGAAGGAACTAGCTTTGTTATTAAGAAGTCGTACCTAAATAATTGTTTTCAAAACAGTGGTTCCAAAACAGCAGCAAGGCAAAACCAAAATATTAGTTTAGCTCTGGGACTTCCTTTTAAGTTAGGCAGATGAGGTTGCAGTGATGACCAATAAAGTGACCAGAGGAGGGATCACTTACAGCCTTGTTATTTCACAGAACTGCTGACTAATGTGCACCCGCTACTCATAAAAGTATGTCTATTTCTAAGAAACAGTTAGGAAAACTATTCTGAAAGTGTTAATGAAAGATCTATGAAAGGTCACAGTTTGACCTAAGAACAGCTTATTAGTCAAGGCTCAACCACTGAACAAAGTCACAGATGTTATGTTTGTGCACCTGCTTCAGAGATTAAAGCTGATAGTTTAGTTTGTTTTTCCACAGTTAAATTAAAAAAAGTAACTGACTTGTTAAAAATTTGGGTCTGTTACCAAGGCTGCCTAATTCTATAAACCCCTTCTGAAAAGGGCCAGTTGGAAAAATCAATCCTACCATTTGTTAGACAAATTAGGGAGATGCAGTGATATATTAAAAGGAAAACGTAGACAAAAATATCAGTGGCTCAAACAGGCAGCTGACAACATTGTAGAGAATGCTTCACTTACAGCATTGAGCTGTAGATACTGCTGCGCGCTCTCACACCCAGCTAGGACTCTAGCGCACTTCATACAGCTAAACACTTATTTCAACCATCCAGCACTTCATATATAATTAAAATCAACTTTAAAATGTATTCATTTTTCCTCAATCAGAAAGCCCAGTGTTCAATCAAGTTTATTTAAATATAGCAAAAGTACTCTGGCAGCTAAGCTAGATAAAAAGATCCTACCATATGCTGGATAAAGATTCTGCCATTTTGTGAGAATTACATTTTCAAGAGAACACTATGGAGAGAGAGGTAGAAACAAGAGCAGCTACACAGTGTGGTTCAGCAAGAATGTCATTAGCTTGAGGGAACCCAACAGTTCCAAAGTTTTGCTGTATTAGAAGAACAAACCAACTGACAGCCTATAAAGCTAAAGGACTGCTACTACAAGACAAGAAATACTATTAGTTTCAAAGTTAGACTGGTCACTCATCTTTGGTAAATAGCCAAAAATTCAGTAAGTGCAAGCAGTTGGCAATCTCCCAAAGCTCTGATGAATGCCCTAACTGATCACTGCAGTCAGTTTCCTTCCAGTTTTTACCAAGCTCTTGAAGCTTCAAATACTATCACAACAAAGCAACTACTAAAAGTTTGCATGCCCTGGAGCAGTGATCTCAAGTGGGGTGCGTACACCCCAGGGGCTGCAGGAAGAAAATACTTTTTGTACCATTAATAAACAAACCTTTTCTTAATACAGTGTTTATTTCACCTTTATCTCATTTGTTTTCATTTCTGTTTTTGTGCGTGTTTTATGATGTACGTATGTTAGTACAGTAGCACATAAATGTATTTTTTTTTAATAAGTTAAACACTGAAGATGCATGCCCAAAAGTTTTTTTACCGAGGGGTGCATGAACAAAAAAGGTTTGGCAACAACTGCTTTAGAGCATCTATCAGATATTTCCTGTGGTATTTTCAGTTTTTCTTTCAATGTTCTTTCTGTGCATGTGACTAGTTAGACTTTGAAAGAGAATGCAAACCCTGTTTATCTTATTCTTGCAGGAAAAAAGAAAATCTTAAGAAAAAAAATTACCTCAGATTTCTACTTATCCATTTTTCAACTGTTAAATTCATCACAGAAACAGACTCCATAGCATAGATGCTATTCCTATTACATGAACCTCTAA